ATTAAACACTTAAAAAACAAGAAGAAGACCATGTGGACAAAACAAATTAAGAAAAATTAATTAATTATTACTTTGAAAATAATATTTCATTAAAAAAAGAGGTTGTTCATCTTCTTCACTCCCCCTCACTTGATCGAGCAACCACCTCCATCTCCATGTCCTCATTCTTCCTCCATCACCACCACAATTCAAACTTTCAACAATCCAAAAAACAATCATTGTCTAATAAAATAATAATTTGGTAATCAAAATCAAATCCCTACTATTTGATTCCACACGAATTTATGAAGAACAAATCATAGAAACGGCGGAGAAGGATTTGCGGAAGCGGGTGAAGTCGGGGGACTGGATGACTATGGAGGGGGATTGGAAATGGGAGGGAGGGGAGATTTTGGGGGATTGAGAGGCGTTTTGTGGTGGGGTGGGGGGGGGGGTGTGGTGGGTGGAGACTTGTCCACATGGTTTTTTTTTATTTTTTATTTAAGTAGTTACATTATGTTTGGATAAAGAAATTTAAGATTACTAAGAAATTATAAAATGACGAAAATTGAAATGATGAGATTTTATTTTTTAGAATTTGTGAATTTTCTTATTTGGTTAACTTAAAAAAACAATGAAATTAAATACGAAATTTATTATTTTTAGACTCTCAATCATAGAAATTGAAAAATGACACATATTTACATGGAATTTAAACTTGGGAATTGGAGATCCCCAATTGCAAGTTTTTTTTTTCACTCGAAAATTCTAAATTTCTATGCGTATGAATCCAAATAAGGGAATTGGTGCATATCAATTTATAAATTCTAGGGGAAACTTGAAATAGGTCCAATTTTATAGCCCAACATTAGGATTAGTCCAATTTTTAGTTACTTTTGACTTAGCTCCAATGACTAGGATTCCATGTCAGCAATTTTTCTGATTAGGTTGATTTTTTTGCATTGTTATTACTATTTTACCCTCCTATAGATTTTGCACGTTCTCCATATATTTCCCATGTTTTACATTTTTATCAGAATTTAAATTCATTGTTCAGTGGTCCTTCATCTTTCTCCCAGATTTCTTGATAACAATTTTTGAATTTGAATTTCTTATCAATCTATTTTTAAGGAAGGCTTAATCACTTTTAACTTTCTAGTAACTTTCTATACAAATTACATGTGTTTATACGTGTAGATTTCTTCAGAAGACCTATTCTCTAGGTACAGTTTTTATGATCGTGTTTTTCCTTCGTGGTTTGTCGATACTTAACCTTCTCCATCTATCAAAGGACTAAAACACAGCAGATTGAATGCCAATTAACTTTCAAGTCAGATATATTATAATTGCTTTCCACTTTATTGTTGTTTGCTATGCGAATTCAAAACATGAAGACTTTATCCTAATCCCCCTAATCCCTTTCTATCATCTCTCATTGACATGCTTCTTTCTCTTTTTATTTAAAAAAAAAAAAAAAAAAACCAATGCACAGAAGGTGTTTGATGTTATACCTCTTTGAAAAGTGTACTCTTTAATTTCCGGTAGAAATTTATTGTTCGCTTATTGTCACTATCCTTGTCACTTATTCTAGATTTCGAGCCGCCTGATGATAGCAAAAGGAAGAAATTCATTGTGATTGGAGTTGTTTCAGCATTATTCCTCATTTTCTTGATTTTGGGCATTCTTTGGTGGAAAGGCTGTTTACTTGAAGCTGTTTCCACCGTTTTTCCAGAAGCACCACATGCATTTTGCATGTTTCATTTGAAATTGAATATACAAAGTAAATATCCAAAGCAGATAGGTTCTGGTTATGGTGAAGTCGTTGCTAACCTGTTCCAAAAATGTTGTTACGCTCCATCCCAACTTGTGTTCGATCAGGAAATGAAAACTCTCATCAAGGATGGTGGTACAATAATTCAGAAATTTTTGCAAAACATGCCCAAAGAAAACTGGTCCAATGCATACACAATAATTCAGAAATTTTTGCAAAACATGCCCAAAGAAAACTGGTCCAATGCATACTTCAGGGGGAAAAATATGGTGAGATGTGCTCTAATATTGCAGAATCCTTCAATTCTTGGATTTTGGATAAACGCAAGATGCCAACTTACCAAATGATTGATAACATACGTGTGAAGTTGATGGAGATGAGTTCTGATAGGCAACGTGAAGCCGAAAGATGGACCTCACCAATATGCCCAACAATGGATGACGAAATGATGAAAATGGTTGAAGTTGGAAGACATTGGAATGTGTGTCATTCAAGTGAACATATTTTGAAGTCAGAGATGAGTATTCTGTCATGGTGGACTTACAAAGTCATACTTGTTCTTGTTATCAATGGCAAATTAAAGGGTTCCCTTGTGCACATGCTTTGGCAGCTATTTTGAAAGATGTAGGTAACCCATATGATTATGTCGAAGATTATTTCACAACATATTTCTATAAGTCTTTTTATTCATATCCCATCATTCCTGTACCTAATATTGAAAAGGATGAACAATCTATGAGTCATGAGTTTGTGATAGAACCCCCATTGACAAAGAGGTCCCCAGGTAGACCAAAAGTTAAAAGACTAAAATCTATTAGGGAAGAAACACGCCCCAACAAGTGCAGTAGGTGTGGTGATGCTACACGCCACAACCGGAAAACTTGCAATGCCCCTATTTGACATACATCTCCATTGCCATTTGGATTTTTTTTTTTTTTCAAATATATGAACACATGTTTTTTCTTTTCTTTTTTTATCAATGTAATAAAATGATGCCTTCGACTTTTTAGTTTACTCATATTCTTCTTTTTTCCAGTATCTACTTACATGTCATATGACTTATGCAATCTGTGAAGATAATATATTTATTATGCTATCATTACTAAACCTTCCAAATCAAACCTATATATAACAAGCAGCCATAAGATGTTAAATTTTATCCTACCTATCAATTTGGCTTACAATATAAACTACCTATCCTTGTAGAATATGATTTTTACATTCACCATTAGTTGTACAGGTATATTACTTTTTGGGACGGTTTTAAACTACCTAACATGGAGGAAAATTACCGACAACCATTTTTTAATAGATTATTTTTGCAAAAATTTGTCTAAAGCGGAGGTTATTTAACTATTTGATTGTTATTGTGAACATTTCATTGTGTTTTTAGCAACACCATGCTTGTCTAGTTTTACTGTCACAATTTTTTTTTCAATTAAACAATGTCAAATTTACTCCAGTATTGCTATTATGGAAAGACATTTTTGTGAATATATTGATAAAATAAAAATCTTAAAGTATATTAAGTTGGGGAAGCAAAAAATCCAACATGTAGCAAAAAATCCCACTTATATTGTATTTAAACTACCCAACATGTAGGAAAATTTATAGCTTACAATACATGTTCTCCAGGTACACCCAAACTTACAATACCTGTTCTCCAGGTATACCGGGAAGCCAGAACCAGATCTTCGTAGCTTTCATCATATACTGGGAGAAAATTTATAGCTTTCATAGCTTCATACGGATTTAGGATTCAAAACAAAGTTTCCGCTGGACACGGACGCAAACCAATTTGAAAGATGGGAGGATAAGGTTTTTGAATAGACAAAGAGATTAATCTGCAAGAGACCTGATAAAGGGGTCTAATGGCAATTGTTGTAATTTTGTTGGTAAATTATGTGCATTTTAATTGCTGACATGGATGATTGTTGTACTTACTAGCCCCCACTTATGCTTATGTAATATAAGTGGATTCCATTCAAAACAGGCTTATAAAATTGGACCCATATCAAAAGATCCCTTCTTTTATTTGTGTTTGTAGTGATGTAATTCAGGTTCTGTTTATTGTGATTTTAAATCAAATGCCTTACTTCGTCTAAATTTACTACAAGATCTAATCTGTATCTAGCGGGAAATGGTAAATAGGTCATTCTCGGAATGACATGAAATTAGTTATAGATGGCATAAAAAGAGGGGTTACTTCATTCGAAGAATTTATTTTGGTGAGGGAACTTTGAGCTGATTAGGTGAAGAACCAAATTGTCTTATAACATGCTTCTCATTTATTTGAAAAATGGATTGGATCCTATAAATATTTTAGCCATTGACTATAGATAAGGCGGTTGTATTGCCACTCTAAGATAAGGCAGTTGTTTTTTTCAAAATGAATTATCTGATACACATACAAAACTATCTGAACTAAAGTATAATCTGGGACTTTTACCGTCTATCTGTACATGATTGTTTCTTCATTGCTTCATTGTAGGTGAGAACGTTATGCGAGAAAGTAAAGGAAATTCTAATGGGTGAAAGCAATGCTCAGGTGAAAATTTTGGTTTCTTTAGTGTCTTATTATATGTGTTACATTACATATTTCACTGTTATTGCATTTGGTATGGGAAAAAAGCGTCATTATTGTCTTTCATTTTGAATTGGTGACGCTGGTGTAGATCTTTCAAATTGTATGGGTAGACATTTATTATTATTTATTTGCATGCCTGTGAAAATGCCAGCGACAATTTGTGGCGATGTTCATGGGCAATTTCATGACCTTGCAGAGCTTTTTTGATTGGAGCGTTTTATTGCTTGCAATTTTGGATTACTTCAAACTATGAATGAAAAGGCGTTTTTTTATTTTTTATTTTTTTATTTTTTACAACATTGTTGAGAGTGGGTTTTGCTTAAACTTTCGAGTTCTGAGTTTATATCATGACATTTGATATGGTTTCATTTATTTTGTGAAATTAGATACTTTTCTGTGCACATTTTTCCTAACAGTTAAGTCAATTGATTGCTCATTTGGCTGTAAATTTGACATTAGTGAATTCTGGACTTTAATTTCAATGATTACCCAGTATTAATTGGTTATTGATTAGCATTTGTTTTCTGGAATATGGACTCTGAACAGTTCAAAGGTTTTGGGAAAGGAGTGCTTTTTAATCAGGCCAATTGGGTCCTCCTGGCAATACAATGTCGAAAATTTTTAAATCCGAGTCCGAGAGATTTGGCAAGATGCAAATAAGTTGTGATTGGTAAGGTAATATCATCCTAATATATTTTTCAAAGCAATTTACTTATTTGCATTTTTCAGCTTTATGTGTCCAAGATTTTTCAGCTTTACATGTCTTGAAGTAACTGCAAAATCCTTTGCTTCATAGACAATTTCTGAAATTCCTTTTCTTTTTCTCTCCTAATTTCAGTCAACGATGCTGACCGAAGATTTACGGAGTTGAGTACCAGGATGAGGAGACTAGGAATGAGTTTTGGCTCTTAATAATTGCTGCTCTGTTGCTTGGAATTATCAGTGCTTTCAGTTCGACTTCAACAATACTATATGTGCATCTTGAATTTACATTTCAGAATTTAATTTATTTTAAGTGTTCTGCTAAAACACAAACTATGAGACTTGGTGGTGGCCTGCACTTTGCAGCCACAACTAAGACCAAGGGGTTGATTTTTGTTTTCATTTCCTTACCAATTGGAATAAAATTGCAACCCACCAGATAAGTAGTTAATAAGTTATACTACTAGAGTTACATAATGCCACTTAGCAGTTGGAAATTAACGAACTAGATTTCTTGACATGTCTTTTTGTATGACAACTTTTTAGGTGCTGCAGTTTTGTTTTGGTTTTTCATTCTTTCCCTGAATTTCAGTTGTAGTAGGATTGAATCATTTAAATTGTGGGATTGTTTTGTTTGATGGGTTTCAATTGTGTTTTCATTTATATAGTACTAATGTAGTTAAGGTTGGTGCATTGAAGTCCTGCAGCAACGCTCAAGCATATTTACAATGCTCTCTATTTTATAGCAAAGTTTTAGCTAAAACGATGCAAAAAAAATCATTTTACGAGCTCTCTGAAAAAAATTGTACTCCAACCAATGAAATCTAGCTTTCTTTCCAAACGAAAAAGAAAAATACACACGTACGCACATCCAGTTAAAAGATGCGATTCCATTGATCTGATATTAGTAAAGAATAAGAAGCACTCTCTAGTACAAAGCAGTTTCAGTAGACAAGTGCATACAAGCACCACTTCAAATGCTTCAATGTTTACAGAAATCACACTAGCATTATTTCCCAAACAACCAATACCGAAAATGTAGTGAACAAAGCTAAGCTCCAAATACAAATCACACTTTTACCACTAAACACTAACAAGTCAACACAAGCATAACATGACTTGGAATATGTATCAGTGCCTACCCAAATCACACAAGTTTCTGGGATACCTTTTCAGTTGATGCCGTAGCTTGCAGGCTTATATCAAACAAGATGAGATCGGCCTCGGATACGAAGCTGGGCACAGACCGTTGAGGGGTGAACAGAGAATAGTCACAGCAACAAGAGAAATTAGAAAGAAGTATACTGAAAGTAGCAACCCAACTAGCAACCACAATAACGCTAAAGGCAACATAGCCTGCATCTTCAGGATCTCCAACGCCCCTGATTCAACCACCACAGTAACGCCAAAGCCAAAAAGGTCCAAGCAATCATATAACCAAGGCTAGAACTGGCCTCTAGCCCACAGAAATCACATAACCAAGGCTTCTTCCTTGAGGAGGAAGCTTTGCCAGCTTAAATCCAATATGGCGGTCACTGACAATAAGAGTGGTGCCCATCTTGTTCCTGGAACTATGACTAGCACGACATCAAGTAGCATAGTTGTCTCTATCCAAAAAATTTGGACATACCAATGTGATTTCTGGGGAATGTGTAGATCAGAGAGCCTTCTAGTCTGCTCCCCAGGATGATATTTCTTCCTTTAAAAGGAAAAACAAAAGAAAGAAGAATATAACACACAAACAAGCAATCACACACACCCGGAAAAACTTAACATGCCAGCCAAAAAATGAGGATTCTTCTTTGGTAGAGGGTGTTGCAATTGTAACATCTAAATTTGTATCTGCAATCATCAGCTGGTCCTGTAAAAATATATATTTAGTTGACGATTACAAATAAACACTCAAACTGTTCAATAAGAAATCTGACTGAAGAACTACGAATAAGATGAATAAATCAAACTTTTAATTTTAACGGTTCAAGGTTCAGAAAAAGATGAAAAATTGGAGAGTGAAATTAGTAGATGCTTAATTAGTGAATAAAGAACTTACGGTTTGATCACGATCATTCTCCTTTGAATCACTTAGCTCTAGTACATCATCAGTTTCCTCTGCCATTTGTAGTCTTTCTGGTCTTGGATCACTTTGGAGTAACCCATCAGGAGAAATCTTTAACTGGATCAGCTGGCACTTCTTGACAATCAAATCCTTGGACAGTAAGGATGGGACTTTGAAAATGCAATTTCCCGTGCAAAATCCTTGCAGACTTGGTAGACCAGAAAGTTGCAAATGTTTCAAGCAACTGTAAGTAATCTCATTTTCTGAATCATCTCCGTTGCTTGCCACTATTTCTACCATTCTTTCACAATACCGAACATCCAACTCCCGGAGTTGCTGCAAATCCTTAGCCACAGAATAAGGTATTAAGTATTGCAGTCCGTGACAGCTCCATATGGTCAAAGCGGTTAGATTCCGCAAGGATATCAAAGTTGAAGCTAGATTCTCTAATCTGCCACATTTTTCTAGGCATAGAAATTCCAAGTTTGGAAAAACAGGGCCCCCTGGTTGGGAGTTCTCCTTTCCTAGATGTATCAGCTCCGGCATATTGCCGAGCCACAAACCCTTTACACGTGGGAGGGTCTTAACTTCATGTATTTCCCCGCTACTACTTCCTTGGTGGTTGTGGACAATTAATTCTTTCCAAGGAGCAGAGAACACACGGAGATTTTCAATATTCTGTAAATTCTCAAAGAAATCATCTGACTTGGGATGTGAAGTAGCAAAACCAATTACTTTTAGTTTTCTCAGCAACTCTGCCAGGAGTGGACCATACAAAATATCCGTGTTCTCGTCCAAAACCAAGTATTCCAAGTTGAGGAGTGACTTATCCTGAAATATAATCAACAGTAATGGCATGCTTTAAAATATTTTGAAAAATTGAACATCACATAATAACTTTAACATTAAAAACATAATAAATTTATTTACTTGATGGTCTATGTTTAATTAGTATGTAAAAATCACATAAAATTTTGAATATCAAAAGAATTGTGGACAAGTATGGTTACCTTCTCAATTAAAAAGAAAGGTTGTTTCGTTGACCTTGGGTGGCCCAACTCAAGCTTGTCTTGATATGTTAAAAATTCGACGGGCAAAATCTCCACATCACCACATTTCGTGAACTTTAAGATGTTGAGTGATGGCCAATTAGAAATATCCAGCCCTGGACAGAAACTCCCAAGTTGGGGTAGATTATGAAATTCCAGAAATGTTACTTTAGGGAACTCGAACTCCTCATATGCCGTTTCTGGTCCTTCTTTCTTCTCAACAATTTCCTCCAGTAAATCACAATTCTTAACCTTCAACCTGCTTAGCTGCTTAAGATCTTTGGCCACTGAGGGGGGAAAAATATTTTTCAAACTATCACATGAGTCTATGTCAACTGAGTTTAGATTTGGGCACTCAAAACCATTCACCTGAGTGGTAGATGATGTGTCATATACCATTTGTAATGCTTGACATTTGGATATCGTGAGATGTTTGAATTGCCCGAGACATTTAGCCATGGAACTAGAAAACAAGAATCTTAAACTATTACATTGATGCACAATCAAGGTTGTTAAATTGGATATCAAAACCTGCATAGCACATAACAAAATTCATGTTTATTTTAGGAAATTATAATTTACAATGTTGTTTGCCATATGTGTTCCAAATGCATAGATATAAAGTAAAGATCATATATTAAAAAAGTAAGCTACTAGGTTACTAGACAGCTGGATATCTTCGTACTTTCATTAACTAGCAAATAATGAATTGGAGTAAAAAAAAACTATGCCAATTTTATAGGGCCAAAGTTATGTCAATTTTATTCCAAATTTAAACTATTTACTTTCGATCAAATAAAAAATTATTTTATTTAAATTGATACCAAGATTACATTATTGTGAATATTTTTAGTGACAAATGGTGAATTATCTTAGTGATTGAGTTTAAATTTTTTGCACTCAAAATAAGAGTAACTTCTCTATAACATGTTTCATTAGTTGACACCTGTTCACAATCTAATCCCTAACATAACCCTCTCCTCCCAGTAAAATTAAATAAAAATAAAATCAAAAGTAAGAAAAAAGAAGCTGCTCATCCTCTCTCTCTCTCTCTCTCTCTCTCTCTCTCTCTCTAAACAGCAGCAGTATCAATTGCATCTACTTCACACTTTAAATCCATTAATCAAATCGAAAAGCCTCGTCCTTCAATTTAATTGCTCATTCAAAGAATAGCGGACTACCAAATCTGGGAATATTGAAGAATAAATCCCTTTTGGGCTGTCAGATTTGTGAATATAAGCGTCTCCCCTGGCTCACCACGAGGTGGGGTTCAGGGTGCCGTGATTGGTGGCGTTAGGAATGAAGGGGAATGGGAGGGAAAATTTTTTGTTGGGAGGAAACACAAGTGGTACATCTCGTATATCGGTTGCACTGAAAAATCTCACGAATGAGATAGGTACCCAGTACGCTGGCTACGATCTGATTGTTATTTTTTTATTTTATTTGGAGTTAACGCCGTTAGGTTCTGTTGAGTGAATGGATAGATTTTTAAATTTTAAAATAAAATTTTAACGAAAAACTTGTGGTACTATTCATCTTAATGAAAAATTATATTTTTATACTAAAAAGTCAAATCTGGTATTTTTTATTTTACTTTTTATTTTGCCTTTATAATTAAAACTCAAAGTTTTCAAACCATTTTTATTAGTTTTTCTATTTTAAAAAGGTCACAAAGCGTCTATGTTTATAAATAGGTGCAGAAGATTTGAACTCATTATTTGAATGTCCAAGGAAGAAAAAAATCTAACATCAAAATTAGAAAAAAACTTGTGTGGGATTTAACTTGATCATGCTGAATGGTACTACACCGCCATTCATTCCTTGCCATGTGCTAAACCAAAATAATAAAAGACTCTCCTTATTAAGGAAGGGGAATGGGAGAGACAGAGAGGCGCCGAGTCCGCTGGGCTACACTCTGATTTTTGTATTTTATTTTATTTGGAGTTAACTCCGTTAGGTTTGGATGAGTGAATGGATAGATATCAAAATTTTTAAAAAGTCACAAGGCTATGCATAAATGAGTGCAAAAGATTTGAACTTGTTAAGAGAATACCTAGGAAAAAAATCTTAATATCAAAACCTAATAACATAATATATCATTTAAATGGTTTTTGCTTATTGAAAAAAAATAAATCTTAAGCATTTGTATCTTTTTTCTTATTGAAAAAAAAAAAAAAAATT